GTGCAACACGGATATGCAAGTCCATTTAGGTTTCGTTCTGGAGAGTATTCGCGAAAACAAATGCATTGCCAAGTCGTTGACAGAACAATGCGATTTGTGTTTAGTGAAAAAATCTATGCTTCAAAAAAACTTGCAGTCGAAGAACGTAGAATGCCAAGGTCTTCATGAAATACTCACAGAAATGAGAAACAAACTGTTCGGTTGCAATCATTCAACGGAAAAGCTACGAATGCTTATAGATGAGGAGCAAGCCAAAGGTGTTATGCTTAGGTCACAATTAGACGATCTGGTGGTCGATATTGATGATCTTAAAACTAAAAACAAAGAAAAACTGACTAAAATTGAAAATGTTATTACAATTACGGAGATAGCAATAAATGAAAAAAAATTAAAAATAGACGCAGTGAAAGCCACATCGGAACTATTGCAGGCAGCACATGAAGAATTCGGTGATAACGAAGCGGCTATAGCACAGTGGAGATTGCAGGTTCAGGAATTACGTGAAATAGTTGTTGTCTTGCAAAATGAAATCGAAAATAATAGGTTGATGAACTGGGTCAAGAATTCGTTGGTTAACATCCTGGATCCCGAAACAAAAGTAGGACAAGCTATTCACATCATACTTTACCTATTACTCCCAGCGGTTCCTCCGCCAAGATCGATTCAGTTGCCTTACGAGTTTAGTATGGGCAAATCAATGAGCTTTGTGACTTACAAGTAAAAATTTGTATATATTTAAAATTATATGTATTGTATTTATTTGTACTGATTATAATATCCTTTAATATTATGTTTTAATATTTATTTTTAAATTTTGTTTTCAAAATATTTAAAATTAAAAAACTTTTTTTTCTCTTTGAGTAATTGAAGACCGCTTAATTTTGTTGAATGACTTTACGCTTGAATTTTGGCAAGATACGAGTTCAATTACAAATAATTAAAACAATATAAAGATTTTTTCGCTGTTGTAGTTCACTACTTTTTGAAAACTCTCTCTGACATAAGTCACTTCTGTCATAGCTGATGTTTAAACACAACTTATGTTGAGTAATTCTTAAATATTCGTAATTAAACTTTCACTGGTTGCCTTTTAAGACCCCTAAAAGAAATGACATACTCCCCAATGTTAACTTGTGAACAAAAAGACCAATTTAAATGACCAATGACCAATGTAAAACCGTAGATTGTACAGCAAACCTTAAACACTAAATATTTTTTAAGTTCCAACAATAGCAACAAAAAATATTTAATTATTTAAGAAAGTGATGACAAAAAATTCCTAATGTGTGCACTAATAGAATATCGTTACTTCTACACAGGTACCACATAGATTAAACTGGGATAGAGTATCAGAACATATCCAGCAGCTGACGATATATATATGTAATACACTATTTTTATATATAGAATTTATTTAACACATGATTCATACTATTACATTCTCTTTATATGGATCTGAATACATATTTTGTTTCCGAAATAAGATAATAAGCGATATAGTCAATCTTAAAATGATATATAATTGAGACGTTAAAATGTAACATAACAATGTGTTGTTCTTCAGTACGAAATTAAAAATCTTCAGAAATTTTAGATATACATTTAAAAACGATAAATAACAAGAACCAGTCTCAACCTATGTCACAAGAATAAGCGGGTCACTTAGATACAGTCCGTTAGCGAACGCTAGCAATATTTAATACCAATAATAGAAAAAGCATAAAATATATACATATATACCACAAAATGGATGAATACCAACCGGCGAATTCTGAAAATGGTGGAGGAATAAATCCGTCTTCTTCCTATAATAAGCACTTCAGTTAGAGATAAGCAGTTTAGATAGAGACAGGCACTTTAAGTAAAGAGTCCCTAAAATGGCGAGTGGTTAGTGTTGAAAATAGTAAATTAATTTCATTTTTTTCGTCTCTTATGTTCAACAACTATCTACTTATTTATCACAAAATATATCCAACGAGTATAGTTATTGGATTAAACAGAGAAGGGAAGGTGCTACCTCACAGTTGCTTTATTTTTTTCAATTGTAGGCGCTCTATGTCATACATGTAGATTGAAATGTGCTTTTTATGATTGAACTATCATTTTAAAAATTAGTTTAACTGAAACGAAAAAGATGCCCACATCTACTAGAATTGAAGTTATGGAAAGTTCTGTGTGACTATTGACCAGTAGCTATGATCCGGAACTGATATCCGGTCAACATTTTTAATATTTTATAAAGTATTATTTGAAGCTTAGATATGTGAACATAACTCTAATCAATATAATAAAAGTCTCTTGGGGGCAATAAAAAGTGAATTTTACTGCCAAATATTTATTTGTGACGAAGTCAACTGAAATCGAGACGAATGGTTATAACTTTCAACTGGAAAACATTACAATGATCATATTGTGTGAAATAGTTTTAGGTATCCAAAACTATCAAATGTTTCGAATTATTATTTTAGAAAATTATATCTGTGATTATATAGGTGGTATTTTAATAACCTCTTTATACGGAAATATATACTTTTCCATAACCTTTCTATTGAAAGATGGATTTAAGCAATACCTATTATCAAATGATTTGTATCGAAATCATTATTAAATCATGCATTATATCAGAACTTCGTTGTGGATAACATTTATAATGAATTTGTAAAATCCGTTTTCCATTTTGCATAATTTTTCTGTAAATATATTTATCATACTTCACATTGTGCTCCACCGTTTAAGGTGGTAAGTACATGATTTGGAACCGTCCATTATTGCAACATTTCTGCAATAACACACCAACGAAATGTATTGGAGTAGCTTTCACGTAGTGTCCAAATATTATAAATGCAACACTGTACACATTGGAGGAAAATTAAACAAAAAGGAAAAGTCGAGGAAAAAGCTTAACTGCAGAAAATGTGAAAACAATTTCGGAACGCCAAGATTTTTAATGCTGCATTGCATGTCCTCCAGTCGTCCATGATCCGCTTGGCATGTTTGTTGTGTCTGTGAAAATTACTTGTTAACTTATGGAATTTGTGTACAAACAAACAGGATCTGGTTGGAAGCACGGCGTCTTGCAAACAAACGACTCCGAATGGAGTCGGAGTTTGGACCGAGTTGTTAACATTTTTCATAAAGTGGCAAAGCCAACTCTGGAAATGTGTTCGCAGCGTTAAACAAATAATAACGTAAAATTTTCTCGCGTGAAGTGAATTTATTAAAATGAAAAATAAAATAACATCAAATAAAAATATTAAACAAAAACGGAATAGAACAACAACAACAACAACAACAACAGCAATAACAATTTCTGAACTGAAGCGGGCTGACATTCGCATTATTTGTTGTTAGCGTTTTGCCTAAAATATTTTATGCTAGTCGCGTTTTTCTTCCGCATAATTTTAGCTTTTAACTACGCTTCATTTTTTTCTTTTGCTTTTTTTTTTTTTGTGGCAGTTTATTTATTTATTTTATTCAGTTTTGCGCATATCCTGAAGCTGAAATATTCGTCCTTTTTGTGCTTTGTAGTCTTGCATTAAATTTTTTACAACGATTCAAAAAATTTGCAAACAATTTTCAAAATTTAATATATTTATATTCTTTTCTTTATTTATTCAATAACAAAAAAAAACTAAGAAAAATTTAAGATACATTTTTATACGAATTCCTATTGGAAAGAACATTTATTATTATTTCTGTCGAAATAAAATTTCTGTTCAATAAAACAATAAGCACAGCGCAAGAAGATTTTTGGTGGAGACTTTAACATCTCTGCTTTTGAGTCACTAACTTGCAAATGCTATAGAATCACGCTGTTTATTTAAATATAAAATTTATTTATATTATAAATGTTAATTTTTTCTTGCCGAGAGTAACGAAAAGAAACTATTTAAAAGTTAGACGGATTAGAATAGCAAAGAAAAGACAAGAACAAAAATTTATTTAATTTATTGAAATTTGGCTGGCCACACTTGACAATACTCAAAACAGCGTTGTATAAATTTTTGTCCTTGTCTTTTCTTTGCTATTCGAATCCGTTTATGTTTATGTTAATTTATGTTAATATTTTGATACATGCTTTCGATACTAAACTCTACAAAATTTTAATATAATTTTATATTTAAAATTTTGAAGTCCTTTCATAAAGCACTCAGCTTGTTTTGGGTACTAATTTCATAAACTATAAAAGTTATGGATGCATGTATATTGACTGACTGTCTATTATATTATATGTTGTATATATTTTATATAATTTATTAAATTTGTTTTCCTTCACCCCGTCATTCCTAGTATTTCACCTATGGCTACGACGCTTCCATTTATGTTTAATTTGTTTTTCTTTAAACAAGTTTGTTTTTGCTTGAAAACGGAAAAAGTTAAGTCTTTCCACATAAAACAAAAGCTGAAAAATCTTGTTAAACTCAAACAATGGCAGCAAGAAAGCCAACAACTGCCATTTTACATGCAACACCAATAGTAGGAGTTGCCACTTACTAGTTGCTAGTTGCTAGTTGCCAGTTACTGGTTGCTGGTTGCTGGTTATCGGTTGTTGGTTGCGCTATAAGCTTGCAGCACGAAGTGTTCTTAAATCTACTTGTGGGTGTTTTGTTTTATTCCTTGCACTTGTGTTTGCGCTGCCATTTTTGTTTATTGTGCTCCTGTTTTTGTTGTTATATTTTGATTTTGTCCGTGTTGATGTTGTTGGATACAAAATTATTGGCTTTACACTAAGCTCTTTCATCCGTTGACTTTTAACGTCAATTGCCCTTAGTATAAATTCTTTTAGCCACTGTCAACACGTTCAGTCAACTGCAAAGTGTCCCTTGCAACATCCTGTCCATTAACACTCTTTTTTGTGTGCTCCTTATCCAGTGCACTGAAAAACGAAGTATTGTCTTGCATCTATAATTTTATGAGATGCAATCTTATTATCGTCATTTTTATATTAATAAAATTCACCTCTATTTTTGATCCTTGTAAAAATTGGATTTTTATTGGATTATCATGTCTCAAAGCTGAATATTTGCCATGCCTCTCCTTCTGCGGGTACATCTACCATCTACCAGTATTATGCGAGTATTAGAATGCTTAACTTATTTAGTGCCTTAGATATATGAAGTTATGTTAATTTAATACTTCTTCATGATTAAGTAAATAAAAAAGAATACAAGTGAGTCTATGACAATAGTCTGAGCAGCTGAAATATTAAGCCACAGTTTATTTTATTTTTAACGAATATTAAATAAATTAAAATGAACAGGAAAGTAGTTGGTAATTTTAAATTGATTTTTAATAAAATTTAATTAATTTTATAAAATAAGAAAATTTTATATAATAATGTAATAGATAATCTATATATAAAAATATAACATATCTATATATCTATATATAAAAATATAAACTATACATATATATAGGCACATCACTTGAAAATGGCAAAACCGATTTATTTTTTACTTTTACTTTTTAAATGTTTGTTCTAGTTCAGATAAGGTTTTTACGTAAAGAAAAGTGGAAAAAGTCACCTTTCAAAAACATAGAATGTAAAATTATATACATAGAACTTATCCTATAGCCTATTTACAACAAAGTTTTTTCAAAGTTGACGATTCCTAGCTATAAATCTTAATTCGCTTACGTTTTTGTTGGTTTCGCTAGCAACGGCCGTGCGCTATGTTGGTGGATATATTTTCAGTATTAGAAATAGGTGGGGGTAAATAAAGGGTTTCTGTCATAAAACAAATCTTTTAAATAATCTGTAATATATATACATC